CAATAGGGAAGAAAGATAGGTGGGACTAGGAGTCCAGGAGGACTCTGGGTAGGGGAAACACAGAGTCACGATGTAGCCCACCAGAGAAGTAAGATGTCTGGACACCTTTCTCCGGTAAGAGAAATACTTAGATTAACAATTATGGGGTAAATACTTAAGTCAGAGCTAGCCAGTATAAAACAAGCAAGGCCAACAGTTTCATAATTAATACAGCATCTTGTGTGTTATTTGGGGACTACAACTCAGCAGAGCCCAGGCAACTGGTGGGGAAAAACCAAAGCGGCTGGCTAGGAAAAGGCTTCACTCAACAAATGGTGATCAGGAGTGGGATCATGAATTCCATGTAGAATGACAAAAGCTTTAAAGGAATTTTAGAAACAAAAGAACGGAGAAAAGCATGGGTTCTTGGTAGCAGCGTTTTTCTCAGGTGGGCTCTGTTTTACTAGCTACAAGCAGAGACTCACGTGGCTCACTTAAGGGAGTCTTCCTGACTCAGCATAAAAAAAAAAAACAAACCCAGCAAGGTTCTTTTAAGAGTCTCTGCTAACAATTAAAAGGTGTGTACGTACAGCTGGAAGTGGCAGTGACCACATCTCTAAGCTGGCAGCTTTTGCTGGATGTCACCATAGACTGAGACAGTGAGCTGGAATCACGCTTACGCCCGCCATCTTGGAAAAACTGCAGTTTAAACAGCTGCGGTTTTAACAGATAAGACACATGGCCAGAAAAACATAAAGATTTACAGTAAAGTCAGACTTGGATGAAGAAAAACCTCTAAAGGTTTACAGTGTGTTTAAAAATGTACATAGGATTGAGAGTGAAAAAGAAACAGCATCGTGGTAAAAAGTAAAAATAGAGAAGCTGGCTGTGGTGGCGCATGCCGGTAGGAATTGCTCCAGAGGCAGAGGCAGGAGGATTTCCAAAGAGAAACCCTGTCTCAGAGAAAAATAAATAAAAGTAAAAGAAATAAAGTAATAATAGATAAATAAATAAGCCACATAAAGATGGAAAATACACAGAGAGTCTGGATACTGTATACTATTGTGTTTTTCAGTTTTTTGATTGCTAAGGAAGGAACAACTACTAAAGTACACTTGATTATAAATGCTGCTGAATTAATTCAACTTATATCTCTTGACAGTCACCTGAAGGTCCTCTGTAGCATTGGGGCATCCATCTTTAGCCCATAAGGCTACAATGTGTCCAGAAGACTTCTTAGCAAAGCAGGAAATTTCAAACTGTCCATCTGCATTGGCAGTCTGTCATTCATTTTTCTGTGTCCTGCAGAAAGTCTCTAGAATACACTGTTTCCTCTGACCCTCCACAGCCTTATAGAGCTTTCCTGTCTCATTTCTACCTTACAAAAGTCATTCTTCTCTTTGACAAAAGCTGTTGAGTAAAAATTGTTTTCCCAACCTCCTTCCTGCCATTTAACGGAGACCACAAGGAATTCAGGTGTGCTTTGCTGTCTTTCAAAGTGGCTTTCTTGGCATCAGGCGTTTCAGAAGCTGGAAACAACTTTGTGGGTTGCCCTAAGACACATTTTAAGGCAGGATACTGTTGGGTACAGGCACTGCTGGAAGGTGTCAGTCGAACACCCATACAGAAAAGAACCCTGGAATCTGTGGAAAGTGACCTTGCTTTAGATGCTTCTGTGGACACTTTAGCCTTTTTGATGGCAGAGGAAGTGGCAGGTTTAAAAATAATTATGTCTAAATTCTTCTGATCTATCATTTCCTTCCCTTAACTAAATCTGCCCTACTTTAAAAGGAAAAAAACACACCCTATTGTAATGAATTCACAAGTAAAAATGTCACACAGTTGGTTTAAGGAAGCCACTCAAACACTTGCCTTGTCTCAACTCTCCATCTCAGTGAGCTGCTGTATAGTTAGAATGGCCATTCTGAAGCTATGGAGATTTGCTTAGGGTTATACACATCAACTATCAATTACATTTTATTTACTTATCCACCACAAAGAGGGAAAAATTACGATGGGTTTGAAACTAGAAAAACTCTAGCCTTATATCCTCTTTCATGGCTTTCATGATGAGAAACACAGGCAAGAGGACACAGTAGCCATCTCACTTTCTATCACAAATCCAAATAGCCAATGCAATGTACTTATTCTGCTTTGATTCAGAATGAACAAACAATTGTGACTGGAATAACATTCTCCAGGGTTCACACTGTTTCCACAGAAGACACCCCAGCAGCTCCTTTCAGAGGAACTGCTGAGGTTGTTTCTTTGTTAGTGATTGGATTTCAGGCCCAGTTGGCCTCTGTATTCATCTCCACACTTGTTCTTACACCACGGTGCTCCTAAAATGTCTGGTCTATGGAACAGAAGTTCAGCCATTAACTGTCCTTTTAGTAGTTGGAGATGATCTCATAGTAAACATAAATAAGACTTTTTTTGGCATTACTTTTCTCTTGAAAATTAGTGTGGGGAGGAAATGACTTTAAGCTCAAATGTATAACACACCTCTATCAACAAATAAGACACAGATCCTTCAACTTGCCTCTGACCCATGAAACAGACTCAGAGATTGTAAGGTTGACAGGAAGGAGTGACAACAAGGAAACCAGCCACTCAATGACATTGCAGCACAGCTTATTATTATTACTTTTTATCCTGAAGAAAACCCTGAAGAAGGAGGTCTCTGGTGTGAGAGTCTTTCTACAGGTTGGGGTGATTACAGGGCAGAAAGTCGAGTGGATGAAAAGAGATTAAAATATTAACCATTTTGGTTCATGTCTGGCTATTGCTAGGGTAATCACAGAGTGGTGAGTTAAAGAATGCAAGGTGATAAACATGTCCCTGGTCAGCCATTACTGGAGATCAGCAGAACAGGGAAGGTAAGAGTCTAGAGGAATAAATTACTGTCACAATTCAGCCAAAATGAAGGATCTTTGCAGAATGGCGTGGTCTTGGTTAATAGATATTTAGTGTTTAGACATTGGTACAACTGTCTAAGCCACATGGAGCTGATCTCTATGGGCTTGTACCTCCTACCATTGCAGTTCCTGGATCTGGTTCCTTTGGATGGGGTAGCCTGTATGTTGCCCAAGACAGCACTGGCATACAGAGAAGCCCTGTCAGCCACTAGTCCACCTATTTAACATACATGTTCCCATACTCAAAGCTCTTTTCTAGGTACTTGTGTTTCACTACTGAACAAGGTAGGAAAATCTTGACCTGCAGGGAGAGTATTTTCTATTAAATCAGAAGGCTATGTAGCAACACTAGGTTCACTGAATGCTGGCCAGAAGAATCAAATGAAGACAGGGGAAGGTGAATGGGGTGAGAAACATCTATGTTAAGTCACAGCATCTCTCACGAGGTGATATTTATGCCGAAATCTGATTTAAGAGGGACCATGTTTTAATTGTGTTTTTTCCACCACAGGCAGAGCATTTGATATAGACAAGAGATCTTTCCTTCCTTCCTTCCTTCCTTCCTTCCTTCCTTCCTTCCTTCCTTCTTTCCTTCCTTCCTTCCTTCCTTCCTTCCTTCCTTCCTTCCTTCCTCCTTCCTTCCTTCCTCCCTCCCTCCCTCCCTCCCTCCCTACCTCCCTTCCTTCCTTCCTGGAAGTAATGCTTTTTTATATAGCCTTTCATGATATAAAATTATTTTTTGATGGTTTTTTGTTTAAATCTCCTTCCCATCCTCCCATGCCCCCCACCGATCCCCATCCCATCCCTCTTCTGCTCCGTAGAAAGGGTGAGGCCTTCCATGGGGGATCATCAAAGTCTGTCATATTTATTAAAGCTGAATTTGTCTTCTACTACCATGAAATCCAACCAGTTTTGCTTATTGTGGAAATTCTGCTTCTTGCAGTGATGTTCCTTCTGAAGCCAGCACCTCTTGCTAGTTTCTCTCTTTTCTTTCTTGGGTTGGAAGCTGATGCTGGCTTGTAAACAATTCACATCAGCACAGTCTTATCGCACCACTGGCAATGGCTATCCAGAGTGTTGAGAATGGACTCAAACTCGTCTGCAAGTTAGTCCATTGTGAGCAATAAAAGATCTACACAGCATACCTACTTCTCATCTTCCTTGAAGCATCTATATTGGTGCCAGACAAGATTATTGAGAACCAGTCACTGTCAAGGAAGAGTGACCCAATGGCATGCCTGTTGGGTATCTGCCACTCATCCCAGGGTGAGGGTGGTGGTGCCATCCTAACATTTTCTGAATGTTTCCAAAGAAGAACAGTTCAGGTCTGTTAGTCCCCATGCTGATGATCCTGTGTTTGAATATCTTTACAGGCTCCCTGCCTCCTCTTGGCAAGCAAGCTGACAGAGACCAGCTGCTACCTCTTGGCTCTTTTGATTTTCCCTTCTAATGTGCACACTGGTCTTTCCTTATGTGACTGCTTCACTCCAATTTTTGGTTTATTTCATCTTATTATGTCAGTGTTGCAAAATCCAGAGACTTTATGAAAAATGTCTGTGTGCGTGTGTGCCTGTATGTACGTGGATGTGCATGTATGCAAGGGTGTGAATATATGCTCCTGTGTTTGTTTTGTGCTCATGGTACATATGTGCATGTGTGCACATTTATTTAGAGATTGGAGAATGTATATAAATGTCACACTTAACTAATGCCATCTTTAAGACAGTGTCATGTATTGACCAAGAGCTCATGCATCAGGTTGACCTGGCTGGCCAGTGAATCCTGGGGGCCTTCATGTCCCCTCCTTCCCAGTGCTAAGGTTACAAACATGTGCTGCTATGCCTGGCATTTTTATGTGGGTTCAGGGATCAAACTCAGGTACTTGTGCTTGCAAGGCAAGCAAGTACTTTACCTACTGAAGTATCCTCCTGGCCCCTAGCCAGAGATTTGAAAATAAAGGTTTTCAACACTAAGTTTCTTAAAGAGACAAGTAAGCAAGCCTAGGTAGGCAATTTAAGTCTCGTGGGAGAGAGTGAAAGCAAGACAGATAGTATAAGAACTGATTTGATTATAGCTATGAAATTGAACTCTCTTTGTTGCTAGGTATAGCCGAGAAGTTCCGTGGGCAAAAGACGTGATGCAGTTCGTTGAATCCAGCACTCAACCCCAGCACTATGGATACATTTATGAGAACTCTACCACTGCAGGTGAACTGAAGGACAGGAACAGGCCATGACTAGGCAGTTGTGACTCAAGCTTATGCGTCTAAAATCTAAACTACCAGAGAGGAGTAGGAAGACAAGAACTGAGCAAAGCAGAGACAAAACAAGGGAACAAAGTGGTGAAGGACTGTGGAGTCTGTAGCGAGGCATGCTGGGAGATCACTAAGGTCAAGATAAAATGGAGCTCTTGGAAACCAGCTGTGGCCCCCCTCCTCCATCTGTTGGGCTATGATTTGGTGGCCAGCCAGTCTTCTTGGGGTCACACTGTCCTTTAAACTTGGGTTTCCATTTCTCTCACAAACAATCTTTAACCAAACCACCCTATACTCTCCCTCTGTGCTGATGCCTCATTTCTCCATATGGCCCCTTGGCTCTATGTAATATTAAAATCTCATAGGAACTGCCTTGCTCTATACTTTACCATGATACTAACTTTAACTTTTTGATTACTCTTTAATTTCTAGAAAGCATCCCACCCTGGCCCCCTATGGTTTGGGCATTAGTTCTTCATAATACCAAACCCCTGAAGTCTGGATATGTTCTTTGTAAAGACATTTATTCTTAAGACACCTCCAAATGTCTTATAACCCTTGCTTTTGCATGTGAATTTTCTTTTTTTATTACACAGTTTTACTGTCTTCTGTGTGGTAGACTTCCTATTTCCCTGTTAATTTTTGTGTGTGTGAGCTCATCTTCCAGGGGATTTTTTTTCCTTTGATAATCTGACAGGATAAGTTTCTACTTTAACCTATCCACTTAGGTTTTCCTACTTAGAAGTGGATAGAGAAAAGATGGTGATAATTTGGGACACAGTTCGTGTTTTGCCTTCTCAAGGTTGGCTTCTCACCAAAACCTTAGACGTTGCATTGCCAAGGTAAGATTTTGAGCCAGTAGCAGATTGTTTTAGGGATTGGTTTGTGGAATGATAATTTCTTTGTGGCTTCGGGGTTTATGCAGGAAGCAGAGTCTAGCTTTCTACCGATGATGATACAAAAACCAACTCCCAAGTACATATCAAAACAAAACAAACAAAATGGTCCTGAGTTTGGAGGTAAAGTCCTGGTTCTTAGAGGAGGTTTTTGGTTGATAAGGTTTCTAATGTTTGACTGTTAATTTGCGTTTTTATTTCATTCTTACCGCTGTCATTTAGATAACTTCCCCTTTACATGCGTAGTTATTTATTTAAATTAGTCATTAAAAGCAGCATGTTATGGATTTTAGTCATTTTCACCCCCATTGTTCACTCTGAGCCCTGTCACTCCTCATTCTGATGCAACCTCTATTCCCAACATGTCCTTCGCCTCCATTTATGTCTTTATGTATGTGACTCCCTCACTTTAGTTAGGGATGTCTGCAGGAGCATGAGTGAGAGGCTGTATCCTGGTAATTTAGTGGCTAAACTATCTCCCCAGCAACTATTAGCAGTCACTTCTTCAGGGTGTGTGTGTGTGTGTGTGTGTGTGTGTGTGTGTGTGTGTGTGTAAAATGATCCCTTTTTCCTTCAATGAAGAAATGTTCAGGTAACCACAGCTGTATTAAGTTTGTGATTGAAAGGATATTTATTTGTGTTGACACAAAATTAGTGACTTACATTTTATTTCAACATGTCATGTTTTAAGAAAGAGAGTGGATGTGATGGTATACAATCCTGACCAGAAGTTTTGTATTGTTTCTAGAAGTGACAGGAGAATAATCCAATACTGTATGATTTACCAACATAAACCTGCAGGTACAAAATGAGCCGGCTGATTTGGCAATTTATCTCTCTGGTTTCAAATGTCCCTGAGATAATGTAAACTATACAATTGGTATAATAGTATAATAGACTAATTAGTCATGTAGTACATGCTTCATATGGTGTCTGTTGAATTGACATGTACAGTTAATTTTACTATAATATAGAATTATTTATCAGTGTGATTAGTTAATTGGGGGCATTTAGAACTCATAATAGATCAGGTGTCAAATTATTATTTTCCTCTCATTGCTTCTTTTAAAGGTTGTGAATCTTAAATTCCAACCAAATTTTAGTGGAATAACATTTACTGATATTTTTCCACTGTAGCAAGATTCATGCCATATCAAATTAACCTTTTTTAAAAATGATTTATGTGTGTGTGTGTGTGTGTGTGTGAGAGAGAGAGAGAGAGAGAGAGAGAGAGAGAGAGAGAGAGAGAGAGCGAGCGAGAGAGAGCACATGAACATGTGTGTGTATGTAGACCAGAGGTCAACATTATTGTTTTTCTTAATTACCTTCTACCTTGTATTTTGAGACAGGATCTCTATCTGAACCAGTTTGACGAGACTGTCTTGGCAGCCCTTATGAACTCATGTTTATGAGGCATAGGGACACTTTTAGAGATCTGCAAGGGTCAAGAGTGGAGTTCAGAAACCAATCTCCATTCAGGACATGGCAGCCCATTTGTGGCTGACTTCTCCTGTTCCTAGAGGTCAACTGTGGGAGCAGGAGACTGACTCCTAAGGACACCACCATGGTTCCAAAGCCAATGAGCACACGTGAGTGAGGTTGAAAGCACCAATGAGAGTTTGTGATTAGCAGAACTGCGTGGGGTGTTAGCGAGCAAGCCTGCTTGTAGTTTGTCTTGTGGAAAAAGCAAGCTAAGGGCAGCCTAGACCCCCATAATGCCAGGTGGAAGGTTTTCAGTCCACATACTTGGCTATTAGATCTGGATGGCAGAATCCTTTCAGGATTAATTTTCTCAATATTGGAAAAACTTGGCAGGAAGTGAGATAATGACAGAATATCCTTTTTTCCTTCACTCTCAATTCACTCCAGGAAACGAAATGTGTGCCTGTGTGAGGAGCAAATACTCCTACATCAAGACTTTCTCCTTGTAGAGAAAAAATCTCCTGCGAGTGATAGATCAAAATAATTCACAGTTCTGTTAATCAAGAATTATTAATTAGCACCTTGACTCCTTAGCCACGCATCTTTTCTCAATTAAAATCACACCTTACCTGGTAAGACTGAAGCTTCCAATATTTAATTTATTGATAAAAATCAACAAAATGAATGATTATAATTTAATCTCAGATAATAAATTAATCTAACTTGGATGAGGTACTGATGGGCTTTTAATGACCGTAAGGGACGGATTGCCGTTTTGAAGCTGAAATGGATGAAGCAGATAGTTTCTAAGTTATTCTTGAATATTAAAATCACATTATAGCATTAATGCTACTGTTTATTTCACGACTTCTTGGCATAAAGTGTAAAGCTAATTTTGTTACATATCTCCCAAGAAACTCTACTTGGAAACATAAAAGTTCCTAATAATTCACTTACCATAATTGCTGGATAGAAGTCTACTTCTAATTGGGAGTATGGGGTCAGGGGGAGGGTGGAATGGGAGAGGAGAGGAAGGAAGGGAAGTGGGTGAAAAATGTATAGCTCAATAAAATAAAAAATTAACAAAAAGAAGAAAAACCCAATTGAAACTGAAAAACAAGTTTAGTTCTATCTTTTACTTCTCCTTTTTTGTGTGTCTACATGAGGGCCGGTGCACACTGAGGCCAGAGAAAGCCCCAGGCATCCTTCCTCCTCAGGAGCAGAACTCATTCTGGGACCTGAGCTCACCAGTAAGGCTTGGCTGGCTGGGCAGTGAGCTTTAGGGATTTATCGGTCTCTTGCCCCTGACTCCCATCAGCACAGGGATTGCAGAGGAACACCTCTGTGTCTGGCATTTTATGTGGGTTCTGGGGCTTGATCTCTGGTCCTCATATTTTCACAGCAAGTGCTTTACTGATTGAACAATCAATTAGCCCCATTCCAGTTTTTGTAAGTAATAAAGATATGCTCCTCCAGGACAGGGGAGGTACAAATAATGATTTGTTGAGACTCATATGATAAGTCCTTTTCTTATAAGGAAGCAATTATCAGCTGTAGTTGAATTTCAGTGGAGCTCTGCAGGCTTCCAGAAAGGCAACTCTATGCACAAGCCATCGCTGCCTCTCCTGTTTGTTCTGACACATGTTGGCCCTTATCTCACAAAACCACTCCAGACACTTTGCACAGTGACTGCAGACCCTCTTCATTAGCTTTTGTCCCACAGAGTCCTTGGTTCCAATGTCATCCTAGGGAACTTTTTCAGGATGTCTACAGATTTAGGTTGAACTATGAAGAAGGTGGTGTTTTTCTCCCTTTTCCTCTTGTTATCATTGCCAAGGAAAGAAATGTAAACATCAACACATCAGATAGCTTGTTATCATTGCCAAGGAAAGAATTGTAAACATCAACACATCAGATAGCTTGTTATCATTGCCAAGGAAAGAAATGTAAACATCAACACATCAAATAGCTGAAGACCTTAATAGATCTGGATTTATTAATAATAATTATTGGATGATTCTATTTGTGACAACTGGTAGACTAGTTCCTGACTATAATTGCAGTCTAATACACAGTTTCTACACCGTAGGCGAATTCTTACAACAAAGTTGGATTAAATTTAAGAAGTAGGGTGACAGGGTCACCTGCTCCGCTATGATGGTATTCTCCAAACTCCTGGCATGTCTGTTTTAGAATGTATTGTCATGTACACTGTCAAGAATGGCTATCAGAACATCTAAAGTGGAGCTCAGAAGCCCGCTTTAAGAAAATGACAGCTAGATATGAAGTCTCCAGATCTTTTTATAAAATAGGATTCATTTTTATTTTATGTGTATGAGTGCTCTGCCCGTGTGCATGTGTTTGCAAGCCTTTCCTGCTGCTGCTGCTGCTGCTGCTGCTGCTGAGGCTTCAGTGCTTGCAACTCCATGAGATGCGATGGAGGCGTACCACGCTGACTTCCCACGTAAATATGTGGGCAATTGCTGCTCTCCCTTTCACTTTGCTACTTTTATCTGAGTGTGCCTCACAAGGATCAAAGTAAGATCTGACTAAGAGGTTTTCCAGGTGAACGTAGTACTCTGGTTGTGCTTGCTGTGACATAATCATGGGTCTGTTTGTCTGTCCCAGAAAAGACCTGGAAGTATTCACAGAGCTTTGTCTATTCCAGGACAACTTGTTCACAGAAGTCAGTAGGGGTTTTGTCTGTCAATTTCAGAGTTTGTAGTCTCTGTCAAACAGTGTCCCAAACGCTCACTGTTAATATCAGTCACCAAACTTGAAGGGCTGTCCTCAGCATTCAGAGAGACAGTAGTCGCCTCCAGTAAGGTGGCCAACCCCCTATGTAAACTATTCTCTGTGGTGATATCTTGCTTGTATAAAAAAAGCTTGTCTGAAGATCAGAGAATGGAGTTTGTCCCTAGCTAACCATAGAGGTCTGGAGGTCTGTATAGACACACAGGAAGTGAGATAGCTGGGTGGAGAGAGGATGTAGGTGGGAAGAAACAGGAACTTGCTGTCTTTTTCACTGGGAAGCTAATGAAGTAAAGGTG